GATCGGTAACGACGCGTCTAATCCTTCAACCTATTAACTGAATCGGTCGCACGAATAAATTACAATAAATATAAACCAAATTACAAGATAAAAACTAGTTTTGAATTAATTTAATTGCACAGCTCTGAAATAAATTCTTTATACTTGAATGTTGCTTCAATTACCGCGTACAATGCCCTTTCAATCTCATGTTATTCTGTAGAGCGTTTCAGTATTAACGTAAAAAATATCAATTTTTAAATAAGTTCATTCAACGAAATCTTATTCTTTGACTTCACTTATGACAGAAATGTTTATTATGATGTGAGCTCCGTGTTGCGCGAGACTGGCTGCAGTCAGTCATGAGCGAACGATTGTTATTCATAGATTGCGTAAAACTTCTATCTTACAAAGTCGCGGCACGCGGAGGAAAATCTGCGGAGATCGACGAAGACTTCAATTAAGTAAAAAAGCGGTTACTGTAATTGGTCGGTTGTTCTTGATAGCAACACGGAAGTAGATGCAACTTCTTTTATTATACAAAACGTCGACTTTGCCCGTTATAAACGTTCCCGATTTGATCTTGTCTCAAATTTGATTATAGATTACATGTCCGGTATAATCATAAATGACTGTAAGATCATTGCGATCGCGCATCGTGACTCATTTGATTATTCACCATCATTTGCGTAATTTTCTAACTTTATAATCTGCTTTCCAATCAATCAAATTACTAGTCTTCGTTGCGCTTGGTATATATACATAATTTCTTATATTGCTAATATAATAATAAAAATAAATTAATATAAAAATTTAAAAATGTGGAAATATTAAAATATCATTCAAAGAGACATTGTATTATTTTAGCTTTTAAATTAATAAAAATTGTAATAAACGATAAGAGAATTGTTTCTATATATTATTTTATATTAAAAAATTGTATTAAGTTATACATTTTTTATGTTTACAGCTTATGTAACATTTTAATTTGTAAATACGTTCATGAAATATTTTATGTTTATGATTCTTTTATTATATATATTTTGTAACGAGCAAGCATTTACTACATTTTATTAATTTTTTTTATTTGACAGTGCAAGGAAGGAAAAAATATTTTACAAACCATTTGGATAAGATCTATACTTCTGTGACACTGGATGATACTTATGGAAATACAAACTTTTAAAAATATAAGTGAGAGAGACAATGGACTGTGCAAACTTGCATGAATTGAGTTTATCTCGAACAAATATGCCAAACACATACTTAACGTAATTTTTTCTCTCGATCGGATCCCTCGAATTAAATTGTTGTGCAATTAAGTGTAATCGCGATTTAAGAAGACAATGACGGAGAACGTGTACGTTATCAAAGTGAAAACAAAACCACCGCTGTCGTCTCTGTATCCATCAGAGCGTCGTTATTCAGCGTCAACAGTCGGCGGACTGTCCTTGGTCCACTTCAGTCTCGGAACGCTGTCCCTCCTCCTGGGCACTCTCGCCTTGTCCTTGCAGGGCCCGATTTTGTTTATTGCATGCCTGGTGCCGTTCGTGACAGGTCTCCTCGCTTGGCGACGTTGGTACATCGACCGGAACATCGCTGTTTTCTTCTATGGTAACCTCTTCTCCCTGGTAGCAGCGATCCTCTGTTTCATCGTCACGATCTTCGACGTTGCGGCAGCTTCCAACAGCACCAATGGATTTATGTGGCCGCTGGAGAAAATCCTCGATGCTCCGCATTATTCCCTTCATCCTGCCAAGGATCTCACAAATGATACTTACGCGGATATTATGTCGACCGAGGATCATTCATTCAACTTCACTGAAGATTATGACTTTATGAAGATTAACGATTCTAGTAAATTACCTGTTACATTCAAATCTTCCAACATCGAGTTTAACACATCAGATTTTCATATTAATGCTAAAAATCACAATGATCCCACGATGACGGAAGCGTCGTTCATGTTTGAAGAAAGGATGATGATATCCAAAGAAATTTTTCAGGATAAAAGCACAATGAACGTTACACAAGGATCAATGAATTTGACGAAGGAAAAAACTGAGACCTTTCGGCATAGCCATTTTGAGAGCTCCATGCATGCCAGAATGCTGCTGACCTTAAACGTCTTGATGGCTTCTCTTTTGGAGATCTTCTGGTCGCTGCTAAGCGCAAAGATTGCGTTTTGCGGAATGATGAATCAACTGCCAGAGAACGGTAATGTCATTGTCAAATCAAAGACGACGAGATTGCCACTACAAAAGAGAAAACCCCCAGCACCCAAGCCAGATATCTTGGATCACGATCGCCGGTTGTCGGAAGCTCTTCAGAATTTGCAAGGACTCGCTGGTAATGGTATCGGCCCGCGATTACCATTACCGGAGTCTAATAGGGAATTTAGGGAAAGAGTTGAGAGATTCTTAGAAAATCAGGCAACGGTTAGAGTTGTTGAAGGTGCTTGAAGCTAACAACTCTAAAATGGACTCTAATTTTGATAGATTTTTCATAAAAATCTCAAAACATAAAATTTTCATCATTCATCTTTTTTTCACGATGTTAGTATGATTTATTACTTTAGAATCTCTCTCTCTAGAAATATTTTGTAACATTCTTATTAAGTATTCTTAAAATTGAATGAAAAAATCAAAGATTTTATAGTTTGCTTAAATACTTTATTTATTTTAAATTATGTTAAACAATAATTAATTATCTTTCTGTATATATTAAACAATATCAGATAACTTAAGCAAAACAATTTCGAAAACACTGGAATTAACTCTCTGTTGGCAACATTATGAAATTTTAAATAAGAATAATAAAGGCTCCAAGAATAAATTAAAATAAAATGAAGAAAAGATAATCCAACCCTGATAGGACAACGTTTATGAAATTATTTGATACAATCTTACATAAAACTCATTGCCGATGGAAAATTAAAACATATTGATTATTAAAAAATTTTTTCTTATCGCTTTTTAAGTTTAATTTGTTGGCCACCCAAAAATCTCATCAAAAAAGCTTTTATATTTTGATAGGATGTAGCATATTTTTTTTCAAATCTTGAATTTTGTGAGTCTTGGACTCATGCCTTTTCTATATTCGCAGATTTAATTATTACTTTAATTACTATAGATAATATACTGTACCGATCTCAGTTTCTCCTAACGTATACCTTGTTACTACTTAATTCATTTCTTTTGTGACGCAGATATATACATACATTTTATTTTTAATTGTAGAAACATAAAGTAGGGTAATCATAATATATACACATCCTACTTATTGTATATACAATATTAAAATAACAAACTAAATTTTGATAGGTACGTGACAGTGCTGTATTCAAACGTAAATTGCATGGCAATTATAGTGGCAAGCAATGAAAACAATACGAATTATTTATTATTATTTGCTATAGCAGGTTCACAAGCGGACGAGAATAATTAATCGTCTACATGTTCTGTAAACAGTTTGCAATTGAATTTCAATCGAAAACAATTAAACGCCGTTTTTACAGATGCTAATTATTTACATAAGCTAATTTATTTAAAGCCATTACTTTACCGCGATTATTAAATGATAATTATATGTGTAAACAACATAAGCGTATCTTATTGAATTTCGTACAAATGTGCTCGCAACTTCATTAATTAAACGCTCCATCATACAGTACAAAAACAATTTACGTGCACTGTGATACGAATCTCGTATACATATAACTGCTTAACAACGTGTAGCAATATCTAGAACATTTCTAGCTTCTCTGGAAGCTCTGAAAGTATCTACGACATTCCATACGATTTGCGATGCAATACAAAGTTACATTTTATTCTCATGTAAATAGAATTTCAATCATATTTAGAGAAAAAATAGTATTATTGTTAAAAAAGATATGTGTTACAGATTCTATTTAATAACAGCTTTAGTAATACTAATTAATTAACATATATAAGCTGATTACACGATATATTTAATAAGACTGCAACATTTTTCGACAAATATAAGTTTTAACTCACAAAACTTGCGTGTCTCACGATCTAAGAATCGAATTGAAAATGACGTTACGTGCCAAGCGTTGCCTTTAATTCATATACTCATTGTGAAAGTTTAATGACTTGTTACGATATATCAAACAATTCAATATTAGCCAACGAGGCTACAGATATTAGCTAAGGAGACTATTAACAATAGTAATATCACCTTGGAATCCGCATTCCTTTCGAACGTTTATTCGCATGCATGAAGTGGCGTTTATGTTCGTCGGTTTTCGTACTATATAGATTTGAATGGATAATACAAAAGATATTGTACTCGTAGCGAACATCACGAAGAAATATACTCTGAGATAAATATTATTTCTATTTTTATGATTTATACCTACATTTAACATGCAATGGGATTTCCGCTTTGGCTTATCACGTTTATTACATATCGAATAATTTTTTTGTAATATGACAGACAAGCCACGGTTTAAGGAGAGGATCATCATATCCGTCGTATTATGCGCAGCGTTCTTCGCAAAATCATCCTTTATTCTTAATCATTGTCAAGTACATTGTTCGATGGTGCAACGAACTTACGACTCGCGGCTCACCCTTAAGGTACACTTCATTTCAAATTGCATTATAAGCTACTTCACTACACTCTGACTATGCTTTCGAATGATAAAATATGCATTTTATTCGCGTTTGCGTCTTGAGCGACCCATAACGAAAATAGACAACCGACAAGTATTCTAGTAATCTAATTAGTTTGATTGATCTTTCTATATTGTCCTTGGTCCACATGAATTTTAAAGCGAGTAATGTTTAAAGAATATTAAACAATAAGTAATTTATTAATAAGCATTGATAATGATAATCCTTACAGAAATTCACTTTAATACTGAAAGATGAAAAATTACTTATTTTGAATATTAAAAGTACTGAACAAAATTAGGCTTTTAATAATCAAAATAAATAATCACTAACGCTTTTATAAGGGAATATCAATTCCCAAAATTCATATATCAAATGAAAGATCCGCATAAAATTCTCAACCGAGGGAAAAATATGGAATGAAATATTTCAGTCGCGGATACCAAGTAAGATTAAGAAATAAACCAGAATTATGACAATAAAACAATTTATTAATCGCAAAAAATTAAATCCTTATTATAAATATTTCTTATGATTATGAACGTACCGTTGATATATCGGAGATAATCAACGACTTTTTGAGATTTACAACTAACACCTAATTGGCAAGAGTAAAGCACACTTTTGTACATGGTATCTATCGTGTATCCAACAAAGAACAATTGTTGATTGATCGACGAGCTTAATTCCAATACGCAATGGACTTAAAATTTCAGCAAAATATCAGGTAAAAATACTTGTAGCGTGTATTACTACCAAGACAAATAAATAGTACGAAATAATAAACGAACGTCTAATAAAGCGAGCGTCTTCTTAGTAAAACAGTCATACAACCGTTTGTTGGCGAATATATATTTTCAACAAACGATTTTTGTAACTAACTTTGTAACTAATTCTCCTATTCATTTTCTCCCACTCGCCTTCAGTCAATCATCGCAAATAATTTCTCGATTATACGTAACACTCACTATTATTTATTACTACGAGCAGCACGAGCAACATTGCAGTTAGCAAAAATACACAGAATTTGCCATGAATATTTCGTCCTACGAGATTAATATTTTTATTTAATAGGTGATTATTTTTTAATATAAACAATTAAGCTTAACTTCGCTTTATCCATTATGATCGTTGATGCACGTCTGATGCTCAACACAAGTTTTTATAGTGCACTTTTTATGCAGTTTTAATTGTTCACATTGTTCGATTTTCTCTCTCTCTCTCTCTCTCGGATTACTATAAATTATCACTTGATCGTAATCTACTTTAATCACGTCTACTCTTCAATGAAAGAAGAAAATTTATACGTATATAGATTATATTAAACTGGCAAGCTTCTTACGAGAAAAATGAATGGCAGTTCATTCTCGTCGAAATCGAGATTAGCACTTGTGTTTAATGTTATTATTTTTATCACTACAAATTATCACTAAAGTCTGGGTTTCATTATCATTGTGTTTTCTATGGCATCGATACAGTTCATCATCAATCACTTCGCGTAAAGAACGTGGAAAAATAAAAGTATTTATTTTAATATAAAGAGATGAGAATATCGTAGCATGTAATGTTTGTTTATATAATCGGTGTAATATATTGGAAATAAAGTTAATAATATTTGTGTCATGCATCATATCCATTACTACTTAATTTAAAGAGCGCGAAATGTTGTTATTAAATAAATCTTTTTAGCAATTTTTTTAGGAGAAGAGAAATCGATACGATATGAACTGACACGCACATCGAGAGTATTTCACACTACGTTATTTAAACTTAGTGTATTAACTTTTTAATTAAATTCAACTACATATTTCAAAAGCAAACCTGTTATCAATCGACTAGGATCATATCTGCCAAACTCGAACTACTTTCTTCTTAATTTCTCTATTTCGTCAATTAAATTCAAAGGATTGAATCCCAGCAATTTCAGTCGCTTTGTTTACTTCAGAACAAGACCTACATACGATCGATCTAAATTATTTACAGATCAGAAGCTATTGTCGGGCATTTTCTTCGCTACTTTAATTTAATGGTTTTCATATAACACTTCCTGGCAGGAAATTAATGTTTTATTGTTTTCGCTAAGAATCTTACGGGTCTAAGATCACACATTCACCGGCCGGACGTTATCATCCGATTGCTGTTGCTCCCCGCTTTGCCAACCAGAGTCTAGAGTCGTCGAATCGCTCAAACAACACTGTGGCGTTTCCTCCTCCTGATTGTTTCTGTAATCCCTATAATCCCTTTCACGCCCCCTTTCAGTTTCCTCTTCCCGAAAGTAACTGGAACTCGGCGGACCTTCCTGCTCCTCGTCATTTTTCGACCCGTAATAGGAGTAGCGACCTTGTTGAATCACTTCATATTGCGCGTCAGGGGCGAGAAAAGGACCTCTCGCGCTTCTCGGTTCGTCGCTGTTCGCATAATTGTCACAGGGAATGTCGCCGTTGTCCGCAGGCAAAGGAAGAGGCAATCGAGATCTCTTTGATAATTGACGCTTGCCTAGCCTAGTCGCCAGATAGTCTACGCCTTCCGGATGTTCTGCACCTGCAAAAAAATACAAACATATCAAACACTTAAAAAAATGTTGTAAGAAACGTTTTAATTTTTGGTATCAATAATTTAAAAATAAATAATTTTTTTTTATTATAACCTCAATAATTTAAAAATGAATAATTTTTTGAATTAAATCAACAGCTTCTAGGTAAATAAGAATATTTTTACAAGATATGGAATAATAAACAAAAAACACTTACGTAAGAGAAATACTTACTATTTATATTTAATGTAAAAAGATTTAATTTAAATATAACACACAATTGTAAAAAGGATATCATAGTTTCTAGATGTATAAATGCCGAAGTAACGAGTTTAATTTAGAATTTTTTTAAGAAATATTACGCAATTTCGTCGCGGAAATAATAAGTACCTTCTTTTTCCACAGCTAGATCGTAAAAACTACTTTCGGGTCCGCAGCATGAGGACACGTCACCGAAATACAGTTCGCTCTCAGATTGTTTCGGGCCGGGATTAGTTTCTTGTTGAAACGCCCCATTTTCTACGCCCTTCAAAGGCTTTCTAGCTCTCCTACCTTTGATGGTTCCCTCATTCCCTCCCTCAGGGTCTGTGCTATTAGAGATCTCCTCGGCGTTCTCGTAATTATCGGAAGGACGCTTTGCAGGTCTCGGTCTATGGTCTAAACATTTCGGAAAAATGCAACTTAATTTCTAATTAATATCCAGAAATTAATGGATCATCGATTATATTTCATATATATTTTTTTCTTCTTTTGATTGATTATTATATTATTCATTATTATATCAAATGTTAGTTTATAATAATTGATATTTTACCTTCATTATTTTCAAAGTTATCCATCCTCTTGGCAATTCTGGTTCTTGATTCGGTCATTTGCGGTCGTCTGGCAGGACTGTTAGGATCGCTGTACGGAGGTGGCGGTCCCCACAATGGCACTGGAGTTTCTAGAACGCTGTATGACGCGGTGCTCGGAGTGTATGGAGCACTCGGAGCATTTAAAACAGAATAAGGACCACTCGACTGCGAGTTAAAGACACTGTAAGGGCCGGTTCCGCTCTCCACATTGGTTTCCGTTGGTCGTGTTTGCGTGTGAAAACCATAATTTGAATCTGGGCTCGGTGCTGGACCTCTCGATCTCGACCAAGGTAATCGCCATCTCCTATAAAAGCAAAACGATATGTGAAATCCTATTAATATAAAATTGGAGCTCTTTCACGTATTTATTTAATCGCCTAAATAACATTAGAGAAACTTATTTACAATTTTTTTCAATACATTTTAGGATTTTTCTGAAAAATTTCTGTATATTTTTAAAAATAAATTGTATATTATATATTATGATAGAAGTGTCGTCTTATCGATTATATGTATATAACTACGATATTATTCTTTAACCGAGACTTCACAATCTGTGAACTGATTCGAGAGTCATGTGCAATACCAATATAATTTTCTTTTATCTTTTTTTTATCCTTTTCGCGTACTCTCGGGATCAATGCCAGACCAGACGGGTATCTCGTTAAATACAATGTTCAGAGAAATATCTACTAGTCTATGTACTGGTGTATGTACTTTAAAATCAATTGACGTGCATGGCCGCGCGTTTTATTGCCAGTTCATTCCATGGCGAATAAAAGTAAACTTCAAAGGGTGCGTCGTTTATCACAATACATTCCCGAGATTTGAAAAGTGTTTCTGTAAATATCGGGAACTGAGAAAAAAACCGTTTTAATCAATAAACGAATTATAAAAATATAAAATACAATTAAAAACGCGCATGTATTTCTTTATTTATGATATTTTAAATGCTTATTGTACTTTATTTTTTTTATACAATTCACGAAATCTATTAGTTTTATTAGATATATACGCGTTAATAATTGTTAATAAATATTGAAATCAAATTAAAGGCTAAGTATAAACGTTTATTGAACATAGCTGCAAATTGGCCATTAATTATTTGTAGTATATTAATAAAATAAAGACTTTTTTAAAAGAATGTTGCATGTTTGCAATTTTTAAAGGTTTTTAATCGACATGAATTTTATTCTACACTAACTTTTATTAAAAAGGGAGACAATAATATCTATAGTTCTTAAATATATCTATTTTCTGAACAATATTATTATATCTTACGCACCTGGATGGCGCCATATCAGGATTCGGCGTGTACAGATTTCCAGGTGTTTGAGCCCACCACGGATTCGCACCTCCGCAATCGTTACAGCATCCGCAGGACCCAGCTGGCGGTCCCACGGTGCTGCCTTGGCCGTACAATGATCTGCATCTCAGCTCCAACTGCTCCCAGTACATCTTCTTCTTCTCATGGCTCAACAATTGATATACCAGCATGCACGAGAATATGCAGGCCAATATACCGGCCACCGAGACGCCGAAAAGGGCCCTCAGGCAATCTGACAATGCACCGTGCACCGCTTCGCAGTGAGGAGTCCCCTCGAAAAGCACACCGGGATCTCCCTTCGATTGCGGCGCGCCGTAACATGTGCATGATCTGTGTGAATCATCATATCAAAACTTTATATTAATATCTGCATTTTCTATTTGGAAAACAATCAATATCCTAGTGAAAAAAGTTCTCATAATATCTCATAATTTGTTAAAAATTTGTTATATTTTAAATTTATAAAAATTTCTTTAAAAATATTTTAAATTTTTTCAGATTTTATAAGTTTCTTCAAAAATTATAGAATGTGAGAAAATTAAAAAATCTTTGAATATTTTAGAATTCATACATATAAAGAATTTTGGAAAAGATATATGTGTAGATTTTTCTCAGAATATTGACAAGTGTTTCAATTTACAAAAATTATACAGAAATTCTGAAAAATTCTAGAATTCATAAGATGAAATTATTTCTAATATCATGTGATTTTCAAATTACGTGATTTTAAAAAACCACTTACTGATTTGAAACAATTCGTTACATGCTTTACTTATCTTAATTACATAATTTCGTTATGTAACTTTGAGACATAATACTTTTTAGTAGATCTATAGACTATTCAGTTTGCGGTAGCTTATTTTTAAAAATCATTATATTTATAAACTATAGAAATACAGGATATGTATAAGCCAACCGCAGAACTTATTTCATAAAACAACACCCCAAAAAAAATAATTTTAATATTAGCAAAAACCGTTAAATCTTAGAGGATTTTATTCTTATATACGGCCTCAAGAGGAATCTTCTGAAATCAAGAGGAAAGTAGTCTAAGCATAATATTCTTACAGTTAGAGTACTTTCGTTTCGCATCTGCAATAAAAATCTTGCTGTGTTCCTAATATAATTTACTCGTAAGAGGGCACTCCACTTTCAGTAAATATATTCCTCTTCATACAAGAGGAAAACTGTTAGAATAATCTCCAATACATTTTTGATGAATAGTCCAGTGTATTGGAAGAGGAATACTGTTTCTGTAAAAGTTTCTGCTTAGAATATGAGGTTACCGAAAATTTCACTTTACAATTAGATTTTTTTTTTTGGGTGGGTAAATTAAGAAAGATTTATTTTATTATCTAACATATTCGCGAGAGAGAGAGAGAGAGAGAGAGATTTCGACTATATAGCAGGGACGATTGAATTTCATGTAATGAGACGAGACATTGTTATCATCACGAACTATACGGCTGTTTCATAATGATGGCGAGGCGTTTTGCCACTTTATGGCACCGTAATTTCTTCTGGGATATATAAACGAGAGAAAGATATACATACCTCGCGCGCGCAGTGTAAACGCACTCGCGAAGGTTCTGCAATCGAGACATGTGAATTACCGTAGTTGTGACGGTGACGAGCACGCACACCAGCGCGCACACCACTCCCACAGAACCGCAGACTTTCATCTGCAAAAGTTATAAACCCAGTTTAATAACAGAACTGTCAGCGGCAATGACGGCTTTCCTGTGGGGACGAAAAGTTTACGCGACAAACTTACTAGAAGTCCGTATCTGTGCTTTCGTCTAGCTAATAGCATTGTGAAGAAACCCATCAGGATCAACTGAAACGACAAATTAATTATTCATCAAGTTATTCGTCAAATTATTAAATCACTGTGACATTCAAATATTACTATCACCGTCGTGATTGAACAGATAAAGCAATTATTTGTACGCATTATAAATTCGCTGCGCGAAAGCTCATAAAATTAAAAGGAATTAGTCATGTACATAAAATTATACCAGCAGCATAAAAAACTTGGCAGCTTGAAGTTAATTTACTCAATGCTGTTGCTTGATGCATTTAATGTTTTTGTGTACGACCATTAGAATGGGTAGCACGTTAAGATCGATGCATTTCGCAATGCGACCGGATTGATTTTTGTCTCTCACCATAATTCCGGGAATGTAAGACGGCACGGTCTCGAAGAGCGCTAAACTGTCCGTGTGGGCCGAAAGGATTGCGTGCACCGCCAAAAAAAGGCTACCGACTGCCGCGCTCAATCCGCCACAGAGATAGCAAAGGACAACGTACTTCTTGCAGCAACCACCTTCGCCAGTGTGACCTGCAAAATCGCGATCCATGAAATTCTAATCGCTCCAGTAAAAAGCCTTGAGCGTGCATGGGGTACTGATATTTTGATAACTAATTCAAGATTACAACGACTTGATCTAAATCCATTTACTAATGTGATTGTTGCTATACTTTCTCGTCCTAAAAATTTAACAATTTAATTTACTTTTAATTCACTTACTTCACTTTAATTCACTTAACCCTCTGTTTGTATTTTACTGCCTTTTTCTAAAACCTAGATCTTTTTATCCAACCCAAGTTTTTTTTATTGTTCTAGGCTTTCAAAAAGTGTAGAAAAATTCAGAGTTATTTTTCAATATGTCTATTATATTATCAAACGGTTTTCTCGGTTATTTTAGAAAAATAATCAGACTTTATCTTCCTTTTTATTTCGGAGAAATTTGAGAGTAAAATTTCATTTATGCCAAAAAGGAATTGCAGACCAAGGGTTAATCTATGGCAAGCCAAATTGATTTTTCATTTAAAAACATTTTGAAAAATATGCCTTAAATTTGCTAAATATTTGCATCAAATATTCTCTCCAGTTCTGGAAATAAAGTTAAATGATACACGAGAAGCATTTGGCTATCGATGACGTGGATCGTAAATCTGGTGATGTCAAGGCTGCAGTTAATTTCGATCTTGCCAACGATGCATTATCGAAACGGGAATATCACGTGAGTTTGAGAGTAATCGCCGTCTACGGATATTCGTGGAATTTCGCTCGTGGCACGTTTCTCATTGTGACCAGATCAGGACTACGGCTGTTAGGTTCTCACGCGAGGACAATCATTATCCTGCTAACCGAGGACCCAGCACGGTTTACTCCCGCTGGGGATTTCTCTCAGAAAGGTCAATAGTCCCACAAAGGACATTTAGAACCATCGAATAGGCCTTTACAGACAGCTGATTACAATCACAAATGATTACAACCACAAAAATACAAGATATTAAAAATGTCAAATTCCGTAAATCAATGCATAATGAAAATGAAAAGGAGAACAATTAAATCGAGCTGATACACAGCGCTTTAATTTAATATTTATTAAAAAATATTGGAGTACGAATAAATTTTTATCAATTTCTTCGCCTATCTTGCAATTCTCGTAGAAATACTCAGAAACCATTGGTTCTGTTTCTATCCAACCGCGTTGAGGAATGCCTACGATGCTGCTTTTGTAACGTTCAACACAGGTGTGTTACTTCGTCTGACGGCATCCGGGTTCGACTTCCATTGTCAAAGCTTCCTATTGAGTCCAGTACGCCGACCGCGTATTGGAAGTTCTCTCTCAATGAATTCTCGAGCGTCAATATACCACGTAGCTTTGAAGACAATGAGCTAATATTCCTATTTTCAGAAGGCTCTCTCAGAATTAATTTCTTTTTTTTTGATCGAGTATATTGCTGACGCACGAAAAATATTGGAAGATTAATAACAGAATATTGGAGCTCGAGCGCAGTTAAAAATATACTAGTATGACATTTTTATAAAGACCATAAATTATGTTTGCCAAAAATTTGCATTTGTTTTTAGTAAAAAATACATCGGGTAAAATTTGAAAGCACCTATTGAAATAAAAATCTGATGAAAAGACGATTTAAGATACGGAGAGAGATTCGATATACGTTTCTCCAAGTACGAGTTTCGACAAATGTCTTCAAGAAATACCTGAAGCGCGAGATGCGTCTTGTGATCCTAATCTACCGTTCGAAGGCGGGATATAAAATTTACGAAGTGGAAATTCTTAGGGAGGAGAAAAGTCGAATGAATCGTTTTAAGAAAACTGCTCTTTCGATTCCGTTCTACGGAGGGTGAATCCACCGTTTTCATGTTTCCGAGGACAATGATGAGAAATCGGTAACATCAACGTCGAAACGTACGCACGTTCTACTTTATAAAATACTCAGGGTTGTGAAATTGATGAGCTCTGCGGTTTTCTTGAGGCGTAACACAATGTCTAGCTTCCGATTTGTCGTGGCACGCCTACTACCTGTGATATTTACCGCCAAAAAGAGTATCGGCCTAAGTTCATCCAGAACAAATTAGTTATTTCATGTTTGTTTAGAATTTTATGATCTTCGTACATAAGACGAATATAAGAAATTAGTTTCGCCTTAATATAACAAAATATATCTAAAGGTCTAGGTAGCGTGAAACGTTGCAACGTTGCTACAATATTGCTGAAATATTCCGTACTACTTGAAAAAATATTTGTAATATTTCGTAACAGCCACAAAAGTAAAGACGGAAAAAAGATTTGTTAGATTTATGTCCTACAATTTAATTCAAAAAATTCTTGCAAAATTGTAGATATTTATTTCGGTCCCTTATAGCTAAAAATATTTCATGTGTAACAGCTGATATATCGAAAACTTTTAATATAAATCGGCTCCAGTAACATTCATTTAAGAAAATGTATGATCTGATGTTTAAGTAAAAAGGTATAAATAAAAGTAGAGCCTAATGTTATAGGAGAGGCTGTCTTAAATTATCCTATCACATTTCCCCATAGATAGACTAAACCATCAGCCATTCTTTAATAATCGATAAAAAAATTATACGGAAGAAAATCGTTTGAAGTTTATTACTTCGTTAATATTGCAATATTTATAAGAAATAATTAAGCAAAACGCTCTGATTAAGATTGATAATTTTACAATTTTAAAATTATTTATCTTAAATGTTATGTTAGAAAAATCCAGCGCATTATATATGCGTGCGTTGAAAGAGCGAGGCGCCGCAACCTTTGACCTTGCCTTAAGACAGCGTCACGCGGTGCCTATTAATAAGTATGCACATGATTGCACAAAGGGAGCGCAAAAAGGGGTGATTGATAAGCGAAAGGGGTTTGTCGGCGTACCACAAGGATGCGGATAATGTGGCCTCGGGAAGTGCGCGTGATTCGTCGGATGCGGCAAGTGCGAGTGCGAGTGTGCCGCCATCGGGAACGGATAGCCCTGGTTGTCCATCTCCATCCCGAGGCGACAACGCACTATTTGGAGCACCGGATAGCCATCCATCTTCCTCGTGTCGCTTTGCGTCAGCTCACGATAATCTTCAGCAATCCCGCTGGCTGATTACTGTAGATTTATCATTTGTCATTACATGGCATCACCGATTTAACCTTGCAACTGCATTCAATAATTGTGGCTAGATCGTGTAAAACTTCTGATTTATATTTAATTTCTTGTGTATATGTGTGTGTGTGTAGACTAAAAATAGTTCGCGTTGAATTATATATCAATATTTGCATAGAATTGAATTTAACGTAGCGTGTAGTATCGACAATTTCTTTATTATTAAGACGATATAAAAAAGAAAAAGAAACTATTTGCCACTTTTCAGAATTGCATTGGATGATATTAATGCTAGTCAATGTTGAAGCCAATAATAGTGCACTATTTTTCAAACTTTAAGTTAAAAATTTTTTATATATAGTACAATCATTGTATTATATTTTCATGGAAACATATTATGAATATCTATAATCTTTTTCTTCTTTCAAAATTTTCTGTATTGAAATCAAAAAAATTTAATTGATTTGACTGTAATAAGCATTGCTGTCATGCGTGTCTACGACATTCTACACTGGTCACGTGTCACCATGAGAGTTCTCCATTTTCCAAGGTCACCTGTTCGTCTTGCATTTCCGGCTGGGTCAACTCACTTTCACCATCAATAATCGTCATCGGAAATCATTATTAACGTCAACTTCTTAATTGATCGTTATTCAATGCTAAGTTTCGCACATAAATATTCGTTACACCGAAATGATCTAATTGTCACCCTGTTGATCTTTATCGTCTATTCGTCTTAAGACAATCGGTTGTCGCGTATCGACAATCGCGCACTCGAGAAGATTCACAGTCGTCGGTGGCGGACACGTTGTGATGTGTCCCACAGGTGGCGGCTGATCAGTGGTGCTTGTCAAGTCCAAGATTCGCGTGAATCGAGTTTTTTTCATGTCAGTCAGGAAACGATGCCAAGCACACTTAAAACGTAAATGTTACGTCGCTAGCACATTGGCTGTCGTATCGTCGGCCCGCTTTCAAGTCGCTCACATCCCTCAATAGGGGAGGATCGTCCTACTCTCGGTTGGTGCAAGCATCGACTGGTCGATATACCCCCCGGATGATTCGAGCGACTCGGTGCGGTCGAGGGTTGAAATTCTATAGGAATGTAGGGATGCAATTCCCCGAGCAACGGGGTAGAAATCTAACGCGTGGTCGTCGATAACGCACGTCCACGTCTGATAAGAAACGCATGCCAACGTCGCCACCTCCTCATCCGGCTGATAGTGCAATTGTCGGGATAATCGTGAAACTACCCGGCATAGGATGGAGCTACCACCAGCCAACATTCCGAAATTACTCAGTAAATTTTTAGGAAATTTCAGCTGAGCTTTTAACGACTGATTGATATTTCAATTTTAAATGGAAATTAAGTCATATGGAATGAATATTAATGTCGTTTATATTATGTATCGAGTATTCATATCAATATGCAAGCATGGGAAATATTGCACGCGGTAATATTATATCAAATCCATAAAAAATATAACTCTGTTTGATATTATAAAGTATTCAATAAATTTCATTGTTATATTCAAAGATTTTACAAAAAATTTAGTCGACATAATAAGTAAAAAGAAGATTTAAATTTTAAAAATATTTTAGATTTTACAAAAGATTTATAAAATTAGGCGAATGAAAGACGTTTGATGTACTGTTGAGTTTAATAATATTATATTTTTACTAGCAACTTCTTATTTAAACGTGATTACTGTCATAAATAAAAATTATATAAGCGTAATGCATAAAGATATTATAAAACAACTTACATTGACTGGCAGTAGTCGTCTCGTAACGTCTCGTTGGTCTCGGTGGCGGACGTGGTGGAAGAGCAGGGGGTTGATGTGTTCTTGATGTTACTTCGACACCCCCGTCACTCTCGCCCTCAGTTCCTCCGTTGTTTCCTCCGGATTGCATTACGTGACATTGACATTTGTTCTTCGTTGGAGCTGAGACCTAAAATGTCGAGGTACTTAAATTAAATCGCATCAAGGTAGCTTAATGATGATCTGATGAAGTGGAATGATAAGGAAGAAAGCGTTTAATAAAAAAAAAACCTTTTTTCGAATCACGCGAATAATATTTGATGAGTTATAATACTAGTGTCAGTAATTCTGAAATGATTAATAAAAATTAAAAATTTATGCGAAGATCTACATCAAAATGTATCGTTATGCGTGTTAAGAATGAGCCATCGAATATTAATAGCAGTACTGAAATAATAAAAAAGTGAAATTATTAATTTTTATGACAATAAATGTCCACTGTGTGTTTTGTGTGAATGTTATTAATAACGACATTATTATAGTTCGAACATCTCTTTCCTCCTCGATAATTAACTATTTAACCCTTGAGGATCGTAATCGTTAACTATAGAATGCTATCGTATGTAAATTTTAAGTGCAAGTGAGCGAGATTATTAAGCGCTAAGCTAGTGCTCATTAGGAAATCTGCCATGCTAAAAACTAGGACAACCAGGAACAAGCTTTTAAAAATTCACTCCGTCATATATATATCAGTTTAGATCTCCTAGCGATCTTCTATCATAAAGAGTATAATAAATGATTTCAATTTTTAAGCAGTTTTGTATTATTATATTTTATTGAACTTTTATAAAGAGACTACATATATATACTCTTATCATTTCAAGATCGAATTTGATACTCTCTTTCCTTTAAGCTAAAAATTAGATTATTTGTGTTTATACATATAAAGATCTATAGATTATAAACATTTTGTCATTAAAAATGTGAAATATATATAAAAATCTTGTATTATACATTAATCAAGAGTGATTTATTTACTTGTACGTAAGATTTGCATATCAATATGGATAGTTCAAAACATCGTTCTGAGGTTAAATTAAAACGAAGTATAGAACATACGACTTTTTTAATGTTAACTTCGTATTAAGAGCTTCATTATCAACACTTGCAGGTAAAGAATACCCGATAAAACATTTTTTGTCGCACTCGCGGTGAAATTCGAACATCTCTGCAACGGGCACCGATCATTAATCATTCGTCCGCGCGCTGCACATTTGGCCCTCGGCTGAAAATATTTCCTGATATAAGCTCTAAGGGCAGAACCGTTGCTTAGTACACGATTTATAGCTTCTCGCGTGGCCAGGACACGGCGAACGTAACTCAAGCGTGCGCGGATAGAGATATGGCGATTCACGAACATGTATTTTCTCAGATGTGGCGGCAAAAACGGCTAGGAATATACGAGCCGCTGGGCGGAACGGTGGCATAAGTCATTCTCCTCATTTGGCAAAGCATGAGGAAAATTTATGGAGAAGCGTAATCGTACAAAATCTAATTAATTTCTTAAAACAGTTCTTTTACGATTATAAGAGACGATACAAAATTTTGTAGCACCTCAAAGTAATCACGTACAAAAATTTCGCAATTTTTACGTAGAGTAAATCGTAAGATATCTACGTTTGCATACCTGAATAGCGTCGATACCCATAAGAGCCGCGTTTTTAGTGTCGCTCTGCCCGTGCGGGTGGCCGTGATTGTGCACATGACCGTGGAGATGTCCATGATGATCCAAACTCGAAGGCGCTCGATCTCTCGGTCTGGTATCGGGATGACTCGCGTGCAACGGGTGCACCGATTGTAGGTGATGATGATGATCGTGGACGTGATCCAACCTGCTGTGCGTCCTAGTATTAGCATTCGACGACGAGGATTCGCACGATATACCGGAGCTAACGTGATGATGGTTCACGCTAGAATGACCGGTTAAACTACCCGATGAACTGCCGTGATGGTGACCACCCAACGGTGTCGTCGATAAACTGCTGTTGACATTGACCACGTGCCGGTGCACCGAGGGCGATCCACCGTGGTTCATCATGCTCGAATTCGATGACGCGCCGCTTAGAGCACCCGAAGTGCCATGATGATCGCTGGGAAAGGTAGGATTCGAATGGTGAGCTAAGCTGGAGCCCGCGTTGAGTCGATGATGACTGTGGGGAGAGTTCAGGTGGTTTATCGTAGCCGCTATAGGCATGGATGTTGGATGATGGTGTCCGATGGAAGTGACGGAACTGGTTTGATTCATGGAACCGGATCCTGAAACAAGAACGCAACAACCAACTCATTTACATACTATAATAATTAATACAAAATCTTAAAAATCTAAAGTACGAACCAGATCCGCTTAAAGAACCAGAATTCCCATGGACATGGCTAGTAAGACTAGTTGCCAGACTTCCATGATGATGTCCAGTCATTCCTTGCGCGTGTGAGTGATGTACTCCGGATGTGTGATGATGAGTGACATTTGTCTTTGCGTTGTTGTGATGATAATGCGTGTGCTGTCGCTGGTGTTGCTGAAAGCCTATCAAGCTTTCGTCCAGATTAGTATTATTCCTAAAATTGTCGGCGTGTTTGTGAATATGGCTATGTATGTCGTTATGAAAATGTCCATGAACTCCACGCTCCATCGCTTCGTGATGATGCTGATAAGGATTTAACACCTGCTGCACGTTTTTCAATTTCTCCTTGCTGGAGCTTTGCTTCTGCGGCGACAAGCCGGCGTGATCTTCCAGCTGTTTATCTAATTCTTTACTAGTTGTCTCAAGCACATTCGGCCCTGTCTCTAGCAATGGACTAGGACTCGAGGTTAAACTGTGATTGTGCTGATTGTCCTGTAGACTCGAGGTTTCTTGAACTCTTCGGGCTGCTTCAAAAGCCAAATTGCGAGATAGATCCAAATTACGAGGACTACATGAAAGATTATGTCCGTGAAGAGATAATAACGAATTCTGATTATTCATGGATCTATTAGACGATATATTTGCTTGATGTTCTAGAAGATCAACGTTTCTAGTATTGTCCAAATTGATCTGCGATTTATCTTGATGAGGGCTCTCCAACCTTCGTATCGGTTCGAAAACATTCTGTAAGGTTTCTAGATTTCGCGGGAGATCTTGATTGTTGGAGATCCTGGAGCTATTCATATTTCTTTCCATTCTGTCCCTCGGTGTTCTTATAGAATCCAAATTGTTAATCGTGGAACATTGACAAGGGTGCTGCGGATTTTCGGGTACGTCCAGATCGCTAATCAGTTCTGGTTGAGACATTTTAACATCTAAAATGAAATAATGTACGAAAAATATGCCGATTAAATCTGTAAAACGTAAATTTCTTAGGAGATACGTTAGTGTCTCAAGTATCAAATAAACACTTCATATTTTTTAATATGTGTATATTATAACTTCTGACTGACGTGTTTCTTTTGCTTCGTCGAGTTGCGAGTATCTGAGATTATCGAATCTTAATAACGGTTAAATCGATCAAGTTCTTAATAGACTCATGCCCGTTTCTACCAATATAAATTAACTTTAATCTTGATTCAACTTACTCTTCATCTTTTTCTAATTCTTAGAACTGGAAAAAGATGAAGAGTTTATTGAACCGAGATTAAAATTAAACCACATTAGTAGAAACGGTCATTAATATATATGATAGCTTGGATTTAAGTTATATTATAAAAGTTTATATTTTTTTCCAATCTATACTCAAATATTGTTTCAATTTGAGTATAGATTGGAAAAAAATAGAAACTTTTATAATATAACTTAAATCCAAGAGAGCTATCACATATATCTTTTAAAATTTATTTTTTATTCTGATTCACCCATATATTCTTTATCAGCTCGTTTAATTTCATTAAGATTAGAAAAAAAATTAGCCACGATATAATAATTTATATAACTATTATAACTTTCGTTCTATAAAAATATCTGAAAACTAATTGACTTCGTAAAAGTATAACTTCTTATATTTCCTTGAAAAATAACGGAGAAGCTATCAGTCAGACGCACAATAAATAAAAGAAGATGTGAAACAAAGTGCTCGCTAGATGCAGCTTCCCAGTCACTCTTCGTTTTTATATGTTGCTCATAGTAGCTCCCGCTGTTTCGTAATATAGAACGATTTATCAAGTGCAACGATGCAGGATATCAAAACGAACCACCACTCGTTGCGATACACGGAATACCGGTCATCATGCACTCGTGAATCGTTCGACACATCGATTCTGATTTAGAAGACTGGTGTGTCAACGCCGTTGTTGCAAATCCTTGTCTATTATCACGCATATGAATTGCGTCCATTTGGAATCGAATAAAAAGCATGTACCGTTGAATAATCTAGTTTTCCTATTTGACATGTACTTCTATCGACCTAACATAAATATTAAAAAATACCTAAATAAGGCTTGTTTTCTTAATTGTATAATCAAATATCAATCTAATATTATTTATTGTTGCTTAAAAATAATATTTTGAAAAGATTTTTTAACATCAGAATTGCCGATGACATCCTACTGGAGTTTCAGAAAGATGTTGATTTATTGATTTACACTATCCATGTTTTCGATTAAAAAAAAAGTTATTTTGATTCTATTTGTATTGCTAAAATTATTTGTATTTACATATATTCACACATTTTTAATATTCTATACTGTACCTGTTACAAAAAAGAAAAAAATTGAAATGGTTAGCGGACCGAAAATATGGTGCCATCGGCGGTTCTCATGTTAAATAAATATAACGTATACTTTCAGAGCTGCTGTAATCATTGAAAAATACCTAATTCTAAATTTTTCTACAATTTTTGGAAGCCTAGAATAGTAAAAGAATTAATTTAGGTTGGACAAAAGAACCCAGATTGTAGGCAGAGGGTGACGAATTTCTCTAAATTCATAACAAATCGTGATGGTATTATATCGAATGCGGATGCTCTCGCAAAACTTTATTACCTAGCACTCGTTAAAACTTTTCCAATGACTTTCCTCGAACTTGGATAAACATCTTTGAAAAGACTTTGTATTCGTCATGACTTTTCAAAAGAGAGATGGTCTCTTACGACTGGGCATTGTGTGAAAACTTCAAGAAGGCACTGAAGCGGTTTATTACACGTTTATCTCGTTAAGAATTGTTACGGATTTCAATCAAGACAGAGAGAGAGAGAGAGAGAAAGAGAGTTTATTAGACTGGGCTGAGAAAACATTAAATTGTAATTTAAATATATAATTAAATGTAAAAATTATTTAAAATAGTTTCAAATGTATTCAAATGTATAACATATTCGATTTAATTAAATAAATATTAAATAAATAAGAACCATAACTTTGGATACATTAAAGAATATATTGATATTTTTCGAAATGAACGAAAAAAATATCCATAAAATCGTTAAATTTTCACTTCCTAAGGTTTATTTTTTCTAAAACTGTCATTTTTTGATAGTAATAAAATTATAACAAATGTTGGACTATTATGTTATTCCTTAGATCGTTATATCAATCGAAGTTCATTAAATTAATTCCTATTTATGCAAATCGCTCATCCACGCAAAAAAGTATTGCAAAAATTAATAAGTGTGCAAAAAATATCGCCTCGTGAAATCGATTACGCTCCAATACCGCGTCATATTTATTTGATATAGGACATTTAGCTGCTGTAACCAGTCCGAAGTCTTCGTAAGTACAACCAGTGACTCTGGGCCGCTCACATTCCTCGTATCTCGTTATACGAGCGCAAAGACTTCGAAGGCCACGGTCAAGTTCGATGGCGATGGCTTGTGCTCGGACGCCGCAAGTTTTTTCTGTCGTTCGATGATCTCGTAGTAGTTGGCAAGAATAAGAATATGTTCGCAGCACGTGGAATTAATTTTGCTTATCCAAGAAATCGTTCATTCGTCGACAAAGCCACGAGCTCTTACAAAGAACATTCTTGTGTGATTCTCATAATTATAAATTTTACCCAATTTAATTTTACTCGATTAATCTATCAATCAGAAAATGTTCCCGTAATTTCAGAATCGTGAAATGAATTTGTTAAATCAAAACTGATTTGCTGAATAGGAATGTGCGACATTAAAAATAAATGTCTACATCTGTGACAAAAATTGTAATATGTGAAATACAAACTACATCCAAAGATTATGATGCAGTATGTAATGTGTAAATATCTATTAAATAAAATTCCGAAAATTTATACTCGTCTGCAAACGATAATCGATTATGTGAATCATGCTCGAGAGTTTCTCCAGGTTGCTCTTTGCGATACGGCTCACCGGCGCGGTTGCAAGACCGTGAGAAGAAGTGACGACCTTTTCGTTGACGGTACAAGCCCCGGATTTCGCACGCGCGTTACGAAATCGCACGACTGCACTTAATCCTGCTGCAATCTGCAGCTCGATCGAAACATAACGTTGTCTTTGCGCTCACCTGCGAGTCGGTTTTCCTATTTGAAGTTGGCCGGATTCTCTCAATCACTGTCGCCTGACTGCGTTGTGTCTTCCGCATACCCGAAGATCTGCACACGATGCAAGAGTTCCCCGTTGTACGACAGACAAGTCCTCGTTTCTCGTTATCCCTCGGGAATAACCTCCTGTAACTCCGAGATGATGCATCTTCCGAAGGTGTGTGGTCCAAAGTCGTTATCTCTGTCTTGATCCCAATTGTTAATCAATGCGATGCTTAATGACGCTGCGATGTTTCTTGAAGCGTCACAAAGTAATGGCAGTCCCACGGTGAAGAGCAGGAGGGATAACAAGCCGGTGCAACAGATGTAAGAATCTTGAAAATTTCTTCGTTGGCAAATAAAATTTCGCTGAGCAATCAGCGAATTTTTTTATACACAACCTCTTGATAAAGAAATATTAAACGATCAATTGATGATTTTATAAATTATTGTCGTGGACTATAAATGAAATCACAAAGAAACTCTCTCTTTTGAAAGCAGGAACTGTTAAATATTTAAAATTAATCACTCTTAACAATAGTAACTTAATAATTTTGCGTAAAATTAGGCATTCACCATTGATAGTTTTAAGTCTCACAATTTTAACGACGAATTAATTCTTGAGGAGTTAATTGTCGAAGAGATTAGCACGCACACTTATTTTTTACAAAATTTATATTGATAATTGATGTTAATACTGAGTAACACAAAATCATAAAACAGCAATAATTATACACAATTTTTGTTCTTGTCATTAACCGACGAAATGTTCACGATTTATTCATTCGGACACACACACAGGTCGGTTCACACAATCGCCAGAATTCAGTGAACTCTAGAAATATGACCTGCAGAACACGTAAACGAAGATACAAATTTCTTCGACATTCCGACAATATTCCGATGGTCCCCGATAAAATTTGCACGTTCGTTATATCACGATAGTGTAAAGACCACGACGAGCAAATAGGAGACGAGACGCGGAGCAGGATATATCGTGAGAGAGTGTTGGAGTTTTCCACCTTCACTGGCAGCCGTTCTGCCTTGGAATGTGCCTTTGCCCCCTGTTCTCCTCTCTTGAGTCTCTAGAGGGGCCCCAAGGGCCCCGACTGTTACACGGCATCCGTCTCTCCCTACCAGTCCCAGTCGTGCCGGTACCAGCCGGCCGATTCGGTTCTTGAATCGACCGCATGTCGGGCCCACCCACTCTCGCAAGCCTCCAGCTAACTCGATAGGTAGGGAAGAGAACGTTCAGCTCAGTTAAAACAGACTTTCAGAAGCACATTAATTTCTTGTTGGTTTCGTTATTGGATATGATAAGCAATCGTCTTTTTGGCAAATATATATATTATACCTTCTCAGTCAAAATCACGTATAGTCATGCGGTTATCTTGAAAACAAACTGCTTTATCAATGTGAAAAGTAACACAGATTTTAAATTTTTCTTAAGTATTACGAATAAATTTATTTATTTTATAAAAATTAAATATAATAATAAATTTATACTTAAATTTAACATAAATGATCAACAAATATTTTCCAAATAAAAATATAAAACTTTTCTGTATTATTATTAGGATAGTAACCTTGGGAAAAAGTGTATCAATATATTGAGTTAATCAGTATAATGAAACACTTTTTCTTAAAGGTATTTATGAAAATGTATTAATGATATTTGAAAAGAGTATAGATGTATATTTAAATTTTCTAATTTTTAGTTAACAAAATTTTTTAAGATAAAACAGAAACGAGTAATAACGGTCAGTTATGTTTTTATGGTTGTGTTAGATCATACAAAAAATCAAAAGATATAATTTTCAGGGAAGTACAAAATAAATTTCATAAAAAGTACGTTTTTATTCTTTCGTTTTTTGTATTTATGACAGTCTTATGAAATATGTTGTTGAAGACAATGGTGAAAATAAATACTTTTGGAAACGCTTCAAATTTTCTTACAAATACCTACAAGAATTCTTCGAGCCGGTTTATCCGGTGGACCTTTTCAAGGGACTGTCTTACCGAGTAATAGTAAGCGATCCGATCGACGGTTGTTTGCAGCTGATAAATTAAAAGAAAAGTTTACGTGTCTTTGTCAAATAAGACATTTGGCAAATTATCGAAAACATAAATTAATTTAAAGAGATAGACTTCATTATTTAACATATATATATCGCGCCTAAATCTTTTTATTATCTTAACATAAAATACAAAAGTAATAAATATCTTTATCTTTTTAAAAAAAATTTAAAGATCTAGCAAAGACTATATATATTACGGATTCCTTAAGGAAAGAGAGCTTGACACATCATGTTACGCGCGAATGTATGTAATCGATAAAATAATATAACATGTAGAAACACGATGCAGGATAATGCAATATATATATTGCATCTACGCGGGTAATAGAATGTTACTCTCTTGACAACAGCTTGTTTTACATAAATATTCGACTCTCGAAACAATGGGATGCCATGGGTAGTATTTACCGAAATAACATGGAAGCATAAGCGTTATGGACTCATCCATACAAACAGCCGTTGAATGGGCGTTTCTCAACCAAACGTAGAGACAATGGAGGTATGATCATATACCGAGCATGATGCCAGACTCGCTTCTATAATATAAGCTTTTTGTGTAGACGTATTTTTGGTACGTATATACAACACCATGTATGTACGTCGATTGCATCTTACGCGCGACTCTAATCGATTGCATCAAATCAATTCATAATTTTAAATCAATATGTATTATTAAAATTTCAAAATATGCGTATATAATATTAATTGATTAGACACAAGGTAATTAATTAAAATTTTTATTTTTTTAATTAAAATGTTTATTTTAATTTTAATCAGACTACATTTTTTAAATTTAGCTTACAATAAATTTGTTTTATTGCACGAGCAATTCATATTTTGATGAAGAAATTTTGTGTAATATAAGAAAAATGTTTGCGTGAAAGGTGTGCGTTATAAATGTAGATTGCAGGACGCTTTTTTTTCAGTAGAACGTATTCGTGTTTTCCATTGCATCTGAGAGAAAGAAAGGACTCTAGCACAATGGTCTACGTAATTAAGGGTCAAAAGTTTTTAGCTTCGTTAATTACGCGAACACTTTAAATGACGCTATTATCATTCCAGGAATGCTGCTAGCAAAACATTATACGTAATATAATTTCGTTTCTTCTTTTTCTTTTTTTACACCATACTATTAATAATAAAAACAAAAAATCACTTTAATTATCTATTTATTTACAAAATGTTATTTAACAGTTTATTTAAAAAAATGAAAAATTATTTAATAGTTTATTTTTTAAATAAAAAATCGATTAGTTAAATAATAATTAACTTTTAAAATTATTAATTGATTTTGGAAGTTTTCAAAAGTTAATATTTCTCAATAGATAAACTAGAATCATTCGATACTTCAAAGTATGAAGTCGACGTTTCGATGCAATGGCGTCAGATGGCACCACATGTACATATGTAATTATTAATCTTATTTTACATATAATGTTAAATGTGAATTTTAAAAATAAAAAATATTATAAATATTTTAAAATTGTATATCCTCTAAAGCAGTTATAAATTACACATTAAAAACGGAACAGAAGAATGCTTATCACTAAAAGTTAACTAATTTATTTATAAAATATAATATGCATGATACAATTAACATCATTAATTTTATCTTTGAAGCGTGAATAAAATTTAATCGAGAAACTACTATTCGAAATTTGCGACGAAAAAGAAAAAGATAGTCACGTCCAATTAACGCTGCGACAAATCGATTCGCCGAAGAATCTATGGGCCACAATCTCTAACAATCACAAAAAATTTGGACGCAAGATCAACTCACGACCAAATGGAATCGGTTACGTGGTAGAATTGCCATCCCAAGCTAGATCCCCGGAATAGTCCTCCATCGAGAGTCCTGTGGCAAAGCGGAAATCAACGCGAATGCGATCGAGTGCGGAGGTATCGAGCACATTGACCTCCAACGTTAAGCTATGCCGACTAACCGAGCATAAGTTTCGGCCGTTTCCTTTCCGATCCTGCCTGCGTTCCTCCAGCTCGGCTTTTCCTCCTCCTTCGACGGGGAGAGTTATGAGTTATAGCGGGTTATAGTTTTACGAGACCCAAGCCAAGAGACGACGATTGTCGGGACGGAAGGGGGCCGCTGCCTTCGCATTCGGACCATTAGTCCGGCATGGCAATTCGTCAAATCGGGAGAAATGTAGTATCAATAACGTACCGCAGCTGCTGCCACCGAAGCATGCATTTCCCTGACGCGCAAATTGCCGACGCCGATGCCTTTTCGAATGGACGCGAGCGACAATCGTTTCCGATTTCGCCCACTCTTGCTGCCATCATCTCGTGCCGTTGCCACCCTCTCGTTACTTCTCTTTTTCTCTCCCTTTAACTAAGTTACCTGCTGTTTTTATTCGACGTCAATCGCTTTTCCAAAAGCACGCTTTTTTCCGTCAACCAGTCAGTCGATTCATTGCCGGCACAGATAGCACCGTGCTAATGGCTAGATTATCTTCTACAAGTGAATTTAATCTGCGCTGCTTCGGTTCTTCAGATAATCTCTCGGATGGAGGATAAAAATAGAAATTTCTTCGTGTATTAATCGCACGAAGTCTAGAGTGGAAAATTCTATTATTTGTAACATAGCAACAACAAATTAGATCTCTGTTAATAGAACTAGAATCTTATTTCAGCATACATGCTAAGGGATGTAGTTTACAATTTCTCTTAAATTAGCTATAAACTCCACTATAAACGTTACTATCATTTAATCTTAAACTTAAACTTACATTCGTTTCTTATCCTTTGTATCCTAAATATCACATATTCCCACGTAGCAACATTGCTGGAATATTGCTGGAATGTTCCGTATGTGGAAAAAAAGGATTAGCGGTAGGAGTTAATGCTGTGATAGCTAATGCTGTTGGTGCCCAAAGCTAAATGTATTAGATATTAGCTATTTGCATTTATGCACTGTAGCAACAAATTTTTACTGCTAGAGACATATTATGAAGCATTTTCCGTAATGTATGTGCATAGGTAAGGAATTTAGTACGTCTAACATTTTTTTAGCTACTTGCGCTAATAATGGTTTTAATTTCAGCTAATAAAGTTTCATGCCACAGTGAACGGTTTTTATTTGTAATAGCCAAAGCTTAATAATGACACTAAGGCGGTAGCTATCTATAGATAGTATACATGAGTGTATATATACACGGAGAGAATTTTCTTTTAAAATTTACCCTGAAAATATGATGATTGTGGTACAATACAATGTTTTAAAGATTTTTACCATGCACTTCAGTAAAATTAATCAAA